GGGGAGGAGGGGAACCCCCGCGCCCCCGTCCTCCCCCGGTGGCCTCGCCGCGGCCCGGCCGGTAGCTCGGCGCCGGCGGCTGCCGAGGCCGGAGCGGAGGGCCGGGGAGCGTGGGAGCGGGATCGCGGGCGCACAGCCCGTTACGCGTCCGGCCGGCCGGAGAACCGCCTCCCAGCAGCGCGTCGCGGGGACAACGGGCTGGGCTTCCGGGGAGAGGGCCCGCACCATCTCCTCGCCCGCGCCGGCCTTCTCCATTTTCCCGGGCCCTGCTGTGGAGCTTTTTGGCGGATATTTTTGAATGAATGAATGTCACCGGGGCTCTTTCTAGCCCCCCACTCCGCCAGCCAATCTGGGGGTGGCGTGGCCTAGTGAGAGGAACGCTAAGTTGTTGGGAGACCTGGGTGTGAGTTCCAGTTTTGTCATTAACTGGTTATGTGGCCCCTGGCAATACTCCTGATCTCACTGATCTTCCTTCAGTTTCCATTTGTGTGAAATACTATGACAATATCACCCTCACCCCCCTCGCTTCCCCGCGTTATCGTGAGGGCGAACCGGAATAATGTAATTTCTTGTCCCATTTCCTGCTCTTTATATTTCTCTATCCAGTTCCTGTCTTCATCCTCAGTACCACCTCCCTGCTTTCCTTACTTCCTTAAGTTTCTCCACTTTTCTGGGGGTAGATGGAAATTTTCCGTATGAGCCGTTAACTTACTTCTTTTCTGATTGAAGGTTTTCCCCCAAGACTCTGAAAGAGGACAGCATTCCTAATGTCCCAGTTTAAGCGCCAGCGGATCAACCCGCTTCCAGGGGGACGCAACTTCTCAGGTGATCACCCTTCTCCCCGCCTGGCCTCATACTGGGAAGTATGTGCTCTGGAGTTAGTTTTCAGAAATATGGCTCTTGGCGTTTCCCTGGTGGAGAGCAATTTGCTGCTGATGTTTCTTAGGAAAATAGGAGATGACCCAGTGGTTGTCAGTGAGAGGCCCTGTGGAGGAGCTGGTTGGAGCCACTTTGCACTTTGGGTTTACCAGATTTTCTAGCTGACTCCAGTGCTTAAGGTGGTAGACGCAGTTCCTGGAGATTGCTTCTCTGTCTCCATAGGCGCAGCTTCAACATCTCTTCTGGGCCCTCCTCCTGGTTTGCTCACTCCTCCTGTGGCCACAGACCTGTCCCCAAATGCCAGGCACCTTCAGGTAGGTTGGGTGTCCTTTCTAGTTAGTTTTAGCCCTTGTGACTATCCCAGCATGTGTGCATGTCTGATGCTCTTTCATTTCTTACATGCCAGTGTTCATCATTCCTGACCATTATCCTGGTAGTGGGCCAATATGGGGGTGACTAGACACCCCTCAGACTGAGGAGTCTTAATTTCTGGCTCCAGGGAAATCTTTATGGTACCTCTTGGAATTAAACTAAAATTGGAAATCCTAGAAGAAGCTTGTGAGCCAAGAATCAGCTTGGTGTCCTCCCCAACCCCTGGCCCCAAAGATGGAATATGTCCATTATACATACATGCTTCCTTCCACGTGAATCTTGATGGAATACTCTGCGCTGGGGCATGGGTAGAGATGAGAACTTAGTGGCTGAGTGTGATTTTTGTCCAGGTTGCTACGTGTTACTTTTAAACTGCCCACTTCTCTTTCAGGGTGGGGAGAAACAGCGGGTCTTCACTGGCATTGTCACCAGCTTGCATGACTACTTTGGGGTGGTGGATGAAGAGGTCTTTTTTCAGCTAAGGTAGGCTTGAGGTTGGTCCCCTACTGAAAATGCATATTGGATTGAGTTCTTTCACCATGCTGGTGGTCCCTTCCTCCTCACCCCAAGCCACTGCTTTGCTGTTTTTATGCAAGGTGTGAGAAATCTTTTTTTTTTTTTTGTCTTTTTGTCTTTTTTCGTGACCGGCAACGGATCGCAACCCTCGGTGTTGCCCCCGCTCCTCGCTCAGCCAGTGAGCGGCCGGTCTGTATGTGGGATCTGAACCCTCGGCGGGAGCGCCGCCGCACTTCCCAAGCGGCGCACTGTAGCAGTGCGCCACCAGGCCGGCCCCAAGGTGTGAGAAATCTTGACAGAAGGGCCTCATGAGGGCACTCAGGGTGACCTGGCCAGGGTCCCTCCCCTGACATGGCCTCCTGGCTTGTGTGCTGGCAGTGTGGTGAAGGGCCGGCTGCCCCAGCTGGGTGAGAAGGTGCTGGTGAAGGCTGCATACAACCCAGGTCAAGCAGTGCCCTGGAATGCTGTCAAGGTGCAGACGCTCTCCAACCAGGTATTCATCTCTCCTTACCATGTGCACCGGAAAGGGGAGGGACAGAGCCCCTGTGCCCTGACAGCTGGGCAGGAACCTTACATTTGTCGAGGGCGTGGGACTGCATCTTTCCAAGGTAGTGACTGTGTCAAGCATGGGATCCCCTGAATTTCCTGGGTACTGTCCTGCAGCCCCTACTGAAGTCCCCAGCACCTCCCCTTCTGCATGTGGCAGCCCTGGGCCAGAAGCAAGGGATCCTGGGAGCTCAGCCTCAGCTGATCTTTCAGCCTCACCGGATTCCCCCGCTCTTTCCTCAGAAGCGTGAGTACCAGAGGCATGGATGTTGTGGTGTGGCTTTAGGGGATACTCTGGATGAATAGACTTTCAACTTTCAGGTTGCTACTTCCAGAATAGAAGTGGGTACTTCTGTGTCCTGGAAGAAAGGGAGGGGGAAGCTGGACAGATTTTTAGCGTTTTTGAGTCACCGGCCATTTCCTTTCTGCAGCTCTGAGTCTCTTCCAAACATCCCACACACTTCATCTGAGCCACCTGAACAGATTTCCTGCTCGGGGCCCTCATGGACGATTGGATCAGGGCCGAAGGTAAGAAGATGATCAAGACAGGAAAGATGTTTTATTTGCCTCTAGGAGCAATGTCCCTTTTTTTTTGCCATGTGTTGAAACCAACATTGTCTTTTTGCAGCTAGATCCTAGTCTCTTTTCCCTGAAATAGGCAGACACATCAAGCTGTATATACAGATGTTGGAACTTTATACACTGGCTTAGCAAGCAGGTATTTGACATAGTTCATCTTTCAAAATGTCATGTTGAGATAGTTTAAAATATATAATTTCCCTTTTATTTGTAGTCTCTAAGATTGAGATACCAAGAATCAAAACTGTCAAGAAAATAGCAGCATCCTCTAAAATTGTAACATTGCAGTGTAAGTTTTAATTCCTAGTTTAAAATATTTCTTTTTATACACTGTATACATAAGTGTGCTGTGAGAATGTGTATGTTGCACTCAGCCCGGAAATTCAGGCCTTGTGCCTCGGACGTGCAGACAGGTTTCTTGGCCATCTGTGGAGCAAGTATGGTTGATTTGGGCCTTTGGGGCATCCTAGGCAAAATCCCATGTCAACTGTGAGTGTCGGGTCTGTCCTCTCTCCAGTTCAAGTGTTTCTTATCCTGCTTCCTTCCCCCCTGAGGGTTTTTGCTTGTCTCTCTAGGAGTTAAGCTCTAGACTAGTTTAAGACTTGTTCTAGTTCTGCCTGTCTTCATTTTAACTTTTTATTATGGAAAATTTCAATATATGTAAACAGAAAGGTATGATAAACTCTCATATACCCATCACCCAGCTTCCACAAGTATCCTCTGCTATTCTTTCTCATCACTCCCCCCATTTTCTTACTGCTCCTACTTGATTTTTTTTTAAGGTAGAAATTTTTTTTTTTTTTAAAGATGACTGGTAAGGGGATCTTAACCCTTGGCTTGGTGTTGTCAGCACCACGCTCAGGCAGTGAGCGAACCAGCCATCCCTATATGGGATCCGAACCCTTGGCCTTGGTGTTATCAGCACCGCACTCTCCCGAGTGAGCCACAGGCCGGCCCTTTAAGGTAGAAATTTTAAAGGTGAAGTTTAGATAGGTTGAAATGCTCAAATCTTGACAGTTTTGACAAATGCAAATTCCATGTAACCCTCAGCCCTATCAAGATATAGAACATTTTCGGGCCGGCCCGTGGCTCACTCGGGAGAGTGTGGTGCTGATAACAGCAAGGCTGCGGGTTCGGATCCCATATAGTGACGGCTGGTTAGCTTACTGGGTGAGCGTGGTGCTGACAACACCAAGTCAAGTGTTAAGATCCCCTTACCAGTCATCTTTAAAAAAAAAAAAAAGATATAGAACATTTTCATCACTCCAGAAAGTTCCCTCATGTCATATCGCTCTTTCGAAACAAGAACTGTACACAGAAGGAAACGTTGCCATCTCAGATGCCAGTAGATTATTGCATGTTAGGGGCTGACAATGCAAACCAACATAAACACTCCAAAGGAGCATGGAATTCCTCAGAGAAAAAGTTGAGGCAGAGAGATGTAGCTGATCTCTGTGCTGAAGCTAGTGTCTGTTCCCTTGGGGTAGGTCATTGTGAATTCTAACTACGGGGAAGCTTTGTCTAGGATCGTTTTCCACAGTGTCTCCACTACTTGAAACCATTTGTCCCATCCTCAAGTCACTGATACGTACATTTTGCATTCACCCACACCTCTTATCTTGTGCATCTTTCTGGTCTTCAATTTCTAAGGACCTTCTTCTCATGTTCTGTGGGTTTATTAAAAGCTTCATTACAAAATCACAGCTGCCTTCAGGGATAATGTAGCCTGGGTGGAAATCAATGACTGCTGTGGGCTTTCCGCTTTACGTTCACATTCAGGCCTTCTGTATAGTCGGTTGCATTTGACTGTTTTGCACGGGGCATGGCACGCCCCACGCAAGGTCTGTGTTCCATTACTTTGGCCCTAACGCTTCAGTGTCGTATCTTCTAAAGAAAGAAGTATTACCACTGGGAGGGAGCTGTTAGCATTAGTCAGTAGGAAGAATGTGCAGAGTAGGAAGAGGGGTAGCAGGAATGGGTCACTGTGGGGAACAGCATCAATTTATAAAGGACTCAGCCATGTTAGCGTTTTGCGTGGAAGCCAGGCTTTTATTTTGGAATCCCAGGCTGTGGGATGCAGGGAACAATGTCTCCATTGGACTGCTGACATGCTGAGGTTTTTAGACAGGTGTATCCAGCTTGGCTTCTGCTGCTGCGGTCACTGAGGTGTCTCCCACTCGTGCTACCTTTTTTTTTTTTTTTTTCCTTTTTGTCTTTTTTTTTTCGTGACCAGCAACGGATCGCAACCCTCAGTGTTGCGCCCGCACCTTGCTCAGCCAGTGAGCGGCCAGTCTGTATGTGGGATCCGAACCCTCAGCGGGAGCACCGCCGTGCTCCCAAGCGGCGCACTGTAGCAGTGCGCCACCAGGCCGGCCCCACTCGTGCTACCTTTTGACCTGTTCTGGACAGTTCACAGTAAGGGGAGAGAACTGTGGCCGTTGAATACACAGGATTTATTGGAACATACAGCTTAAGTAGAGGCCCACAGCATTTACTGAAGAGTTCACTCAGTCACCGGTGAGCTGAAGAGAGTCGTCACTGTGACTCTGGAATGGTTCTTCTGCTAGAAACATGGAAGCACTGATGTCCCATAAAGGCCAATGGGGCGGTTACTTTTGGATGGAGGTGCTCATTAACAGGGAAGTGACCCAGGCCAATATGAGAGAAAAGAACCAAAAGCTCGTGTTACATAGAACCAGCCTAGTTACTTAGGGGTGTAATGAACAGGGAAACAACCCAGGCAGGTGTCAAAGGAAAGAATGAAAACCTTCTGCTAAATGTAATCAACTCAATTCCCTAGGCATGAAGAATTGCCACTTGACTTTATTTCTCTCATATGACACAAGATTTCCTCCTTATCAATCTGGCATTTTATAAATGGTGTACAGTTTTTTTCTCCTCTACTATTTTTATTTATGGTATACATAACAGTAATACTGTAATAAGTGACTTATTACAAAAATGCTATTATATAAAATTAAGATAATATAAAAATGTATAGTTTTTGCCTCCTCCCCTTTAAAGGCAACTGTTATTAACAGGTAGGTATTGAAGAATTTTAGAAAATAATTTTAAAAAGGAAAATCACTTACTGCTACTTTTTTCTCCTGTATTCTTTTCCAGTTTTCATCTCTACTCTATACTCCTTGCAATTTTAATCTTATAGTTCACATTTTTGTTATGTATTCTTAAACATCTTCCCCATATTGCAGCATAATCATCAGGATTGTTTTAGTGGCTGTGTGGCTATTATATTTAATTACTATAGACATGTGGGTATTACTAGATATGTGTGTGGCTTTCTCTCAGTTTATGTTGCTTGATATTTTCCACTATATATAACCTTTTTTCTTCTCTTGAATTAACTTTCTGAGGATACATTTTCAAGAGTGGAATTATTGGAGTAAAGGATTTGAGTATTTTAATGACTTTAATGTGTACAGTTAAGGGTTTGTTACCATGAACTGTCTCTTTTAATAAAATTTACATTATGGAATCCATATGTGGTACCATATATGCATCTCTTGTTAAAAGATAATCAGTTAAATTCTTTTTTCTCATTTCAAAAAATTACATGTTAACTAAAGATCATTTATAAAGTTCAGAAAACTATAAGAAAGAAAATTATTCATAAGCTTCTCAGTCAGAGGCATAGTCTACCATTAATATTTTATTACCTTTCAGTCTTAAAGCTTTTTTTTTTGGTATAGGTAGTCCTTCTTTATTTGTAGTGTTGCATATTATGCTTTTTGTTTAATATGTGAGTGTTTTTCTATGTTATTAAAAGAATTTAAACATCCATTTTAATATCTTCATAACATTCTGTCATGTGGCTGTTAGCATGGCTTCTGTATTCATTTCTTTAGTGTTGGGGATTCAGATTGTTTCCAGCTCTTTCTTTTTAGACCAGTATGTATTGAATACAAATGTGACAGTGTGGTTTTTTACTTCCGGTGATGGATTAACCTCCAGTGATGACTATGACTCCAAGAAACGCAAACAGCGGGCTGGTGGGGAGCCTTGGGGTGCTAAGAAACCAAGGCATGACCTGCCTCCTTACCGGGTCCATCTCACACCCTATACTGTGGACAGGTGAGTGATGGGGCTGAGGTGGGGCTGCAGCTTGCTCGGTACAGTCCTTATGTACACAAGAGGTGGTCTGTGCAAGTACACATGTGTGTTCTTTCAGCATTTTTTTTTTTTTTAAGTGGAAACCTATTGTACATAGTTTGATATTTTGCTTTTTCACTTAATTTTATATCTTAGAGTTTATTCCATATTAACATTTATTAGATCAATCTCATTCTTTTTAGCAACTACATGTGATTGGATAAATTATATTTACCCAGTTCTCTATTTGCAGTCTAATTATCATAAATATTTCAATAAACAACCTTCTACCTGTATCTTTGTGTATAGGTGCAGGTATCTTGTTGGCGTCAATTCTTAGACATGGACCAGCTGGCTCAAAGGGCTTGATTTTAAACTTTGATAGCCCTTGCCAGCTCTCTCCAAGAGGCTGGATCCACTTACATCCTCACCAGCAAGGCATGGAGCACTTGCTCATCAGGCCTTTGCAAACCCTGTATTACCTAAATTTTCATCTTTGTCATTCTAATTGGTGCAAAGTGATATGCCGGTGTGCATTTCTTTAGTTGTAAGTGAGATTGAGCATATTTTCATGGGCTTTTAAGTCTTAAGTATTTCTTTTTCTGTTACCTACCTGTTGATGTCATTTATCCCTGTTTTCTCTTAGGGTTTTAAACTTTTTATTACTGATTTTTGAGGTCCTTTTATATTAAGACAATGACTCATTTCTCTGTTAAGTATTGCAAGTGTTTTTTTCTCCTTTCCCAGTTGGACTTTCTTTTGCCCTATAGAGATTATAAATTAAGTGGTCAAATTTTATCTGTCTTTGCCTATTTTTTGGCAATTGGCCAGTAAGGAAATATCTTTACTGTTTGAGAGATGCTTTACTTAGAAAGCTCTTCTTTCCTAGACTGAAAAATAGTTTGCTTGTTTTTTTCAAGTCTTTTATGATTTCATTTCAATCTGGTTTTCCTGGCTCTCTCCCTCCAGCCCCATCTGTGACTTCCTAGAACTCCAGCGCCGTTACCGCAGCCTCCTGGTCCCCTCGGATTTTCTGTCCGTGCATCTGAACTGGTTGTCAGCTTTCCCCCTGAGCCAGCCCTTTTCCCTCCATCATCCGAGCCGGATCCAGGTCTCTTCTGAGAAGGAGGCAGCTCCAGACACAGGTGCTGAGCCCATGCCTGCAGACAGTGACCCCGCTTACAGTTCCAAGGTAAGGTGATTAGACTCCTGTCACTACCTGGTGGTTGGAGGCTGAAGAAGGCTCTGAGTGTCTCCTTCATGGCACTGCTGCACAGGTACTGCTGCTTTCTTCCCCGGGACTGGAAGAATTGTACCGTTGTTGCATGCTCTTTGTGGATGACATGGCTGAGCCAAGGGAGACGCCAGAACACCCTCTGAAGCAGATGAAGGTAAGAGCTGGAGCGCGGGACGCAAGCTGCTTCATCAGTCACATCCAGTGCCTGTCAGGTTTCTAGCAGCTCAGTTCCTGCTCACTCATGTAGAGAAACAAGCCTAGGAAGAAAAACGGCTCAGATGTGTTTCCTTCAGCAAGTGTGAGGTGGCTGGTTGATGTGAATGGATGGAGACCCCTCTGCGTGGTGGGCTCTGCACCACGTCTGCTGCCTTAGTTCCTGATTAGCCTGGCCTTCAGTGAGAAACCCAGGTCATCTTTTTGCAGTTTCTGCTGGGCCGGAAAGAAGAGGAGGCTGTGCTGGTTGGGGGCGAGTGGTCGCCTTCCCTGGATGGCCTTGACCCCAAGGCCGACCCGCAGGTGCTGGTGCGCACTGCCATCCGCTGTGCGCAGGCGCAGACTGGCATTGACTTGAGCACCTGCACGAAATGGTGAGTGTGCTTCCCTGTGCCTTGTCTGTGGCCAGCTCACTGAGGTGAGGAGATTATGTCCGGAAGGCCCAGCTTCTGCCCCTTTCTGGCCAGTTAGTTCTGTCTGTGCCCTAGTCACGGCCTGGGCCTCCCTCCACCTCTCCAGCTGCCTCACGAATGGATGCCTTAGGTATGAGCATGACTAGGGCCGTGTGTGCGCTGAAGGCCAGCTGATCCCCGAGGCCACATTGACACTCCTACTTGTTGCCTTAGCACCCTGTACAGTACCTGTCTGGTTTGTACTTGCTATGCTTGGCATGTAGCACATGCTCATTATGTGCAGATTAGAACCATAAGCGCTTACCTGTGGATGTGACATCTGCATAAATGTGACACCTGCATGAATGTGTCATGGGTTACTACTCCTTTTCCCTTTTGCTGTGAGCAGGTGGCGCTTTGCCGAGTTCCAGTACCTGCAGCCGGGACCTCCTCGGCGGCTGCAGACAGTGGTGGTGTACCTGCCGGATGTCTGGACCATCATGCCTACTTTGGAAGAGTGGGAGGCCCTGTGCCAGCAGAAGGCTGCAGAGGCAGCTCCCCCACCCCAGGAGGCACCAGGGGTAAGGTTGAGTCTTGGGGAGAAGTAGAGGAAGTAGGTGCCCTGACCCCGGGACCTAGAGGGTCACATCTCGGCTGTTGTCACAGGAAACAGAGCCTACTGAGCAGGCATCTGATGCAACGGAGCAAGCAGCAGACACTTCTAAACAGAATGCAGAGACTCTGGAGGCTGCCACACAGCAGGAAATGGACACTGATCTCCCAGAGGCCCCTCCACCTCCTCTGGAACCTGCTGTCATTGCACGTCCTGGCTGTGTAAACCTGTCCCTCCATGGGATTGTGGAGGATCGGAGGCCAAAAGAAAGGGTCTCTTTTGAGGTAGGTGTCAGAGTCTTGGGAGGTTGTGGGGTTGGGCGTATGGGATAGTGGGGCTTGGAATGTGGTAGTCCCCTCTTACTTGCAATTTCGACTCCTGCAGTCCCAGTTACCCACAGTCAATTGCAGGTTGCAAATATGAGGTAGAAAATTCCGGAAGTAAATAACTCATAAGTTTTAAATTGGCGCCATTCTGAGTAGCATAATGATATCTCATGCCATCCTGCTCTGTCCTGCTGAGGATGTGAATCATCTTTGTCCAGTATGTCCAGGCTGTGTACGCTGCCTGCCTGCTAGTCACTTACTTGCCCTCTTGGATATTAGAATGCAGGGCTTGTGTTAAGGTGACCCTTCTTTTACTTCATATTGGCCCCAAAGCACAAGAGTAGGGAAGCTGGTAATGCGGATATGCCAAAGAGAAGCTGTAAAGTGCTTTTGCTTGTGTTAAGGTGACCCTTCTTTTACTTCATATTGGCCCCAAAGCACAAGAGTAGGGAAGATGGTAATGCGGATATGCCAAAGAGAAGCTGTAAAGTGCTTTTTTTTAAGTGAAATGTTGAAAGTTCCTGACTTAATAAAGGAGGAAAAAAATTGTATGCTGAGGTTGCTGACATCTATGGTAAGAACAAATCTTCCATCCTTGAAATTGCAACGAAGGAAGAAGAAACTGGTGCTAGCTTTGCTGTCACACCTCCAGCTGTCAACGTTACGGCCATAGCACGTGACATGTGCTTGGTTAGGATGGAAAAGGCATTACATTTTAAGAGGGGAGAGGAGATGGGGGAGAGAGAGAGACAAGATTCACATAACTTACTACAGTATATTGTTATAATTGTTCTATTTTGTTATTATTGTTCTTAGTCTCTTACTGTGCCTAACTGGTAAACTTTATCCTAGCTATGTACATGTAGGAAACAACATGGAACGTGTGGGATCGGTGCTGCTGTGCACAGTTTCAGGCATCCACTGGGGGACTTGGGATGAGTCTCCCACGGAGAAGGGGACACTCCCAATTTTTCCTGATGCCCATGGGCTGCTGCCGCCTCTTCCAACAGGTGATGGTGTTGGCTGAGCTGTTTCTGGAGATGCTGCAGAGGGATTTTGGCTATAGGATTTATAAGATGCTGCTGAGCCTTCCTGAAAAGGTCGTGTCCCCACCTGAACCTGAGAAGGACGAGGTGGCCAAGGAGGAAGTGGTCAAGGAGGAAGAAACTGTCAAAGAGGAGGCGGCCAAGGAGTCTAAGGACGAGGTACAGAACGAGGGCGCAGCTGCAGAGGCAGATGCCCCACTGGTGAGTACCTTCGTCCCCCTGGGCTGACACTGAAGACCACAGATAGAATGCTTCCCGGAACCCAGCACTCCATCTGCACCCCGCACTGTTCTCAGCACTTTGCAAGTCATATCTTGTTTCCTCCCCATCACACTGTGTGCTCCTCGGAAGCCTGGTGTGGACTAGGCCCAGAGAGGTTAATCTCTTGCATGTAGCCACACAGCTAGTAAGTGGTACACCCAGGCGAAGGGCAGGTGGCACAGAAAAGTAGAGGGAAATGTGACTTACAAGCCATGGCAACACAGAAATCCCAGTCACCAAGAATGCTGGAAGACATATGGTGTTCTGACTGCCTGATGGGTAACTAGAGAAATTAAAATTTTTAACCTTTTCTAAAACATGAGTCTACTTCTGGTCTAAATATTGTCAAGTAAACATAATTTCTTCTGGGACTGAGGTTGACTGCTGAGGAAAATCCCAGGTGTCTGGAAATGCCCCTGCTCTGCTCTGAATCCCATGTAATTGAATGAAATACATTACATGAGACAGTGACTTACAAAGCCCTTGACACAGGGCCCGGAATGCAGCTGATACTCAGATGCTAGCCATGATTGTTAGTAAGTACAGCAATTACACTTCTTTCATCACTGTGGTCTGCCTCTCTAGAAGGAGGATGGGCTTTTGCTGAAACCCCCCACTTCTGTGGGAGAGGATGAAGAGAAGCCCCGGGGCGAGGTGGCAGAGGACCTGTGTGAGATGGCTCTGGACCCGGAGCTGCTGCTCCTGAGGGACGACGGGGAGGAAGAGTTCGGTATGTCCAGTGGTGGGAGCGGGAGGCTGGAGGCTCGGATGGTGGCTGTCTGGGTCTGTGGTCATAACCGTTTTCCTCTTTGGACTGTGGAGCAGGTTTGGGCTGATGTGGTCCCTGCCCCATGCTCACCTCTGGCGTTCTGTAGCAGGAGCAAAGCTGGAGGATTCGGAGGTCCGGTCCGTTGCTTCAAACCAGTCAGAGATGGAATTCTCTTCACTTCAGGACATGGTGAGACCTCTTCTGGGGCTCAGCAGTGATGGAGCTGGGCAGGGCCTCTGATTCCCTCCTGGGAGAGGCATGCTTACCAACGGCTTCTTCCCTTCCTGGACAGAAGACAGAATGTGGTTCTTGGCTCATGGACGAGCATGTTCATAGGCTCCAGGAAAACATTTCACTGTCTCTGCCTGATCTAGGAGCACACTAGGTTCTTTTGTGCAGATGCCCCAAAGAGGCCTTTGGTTACAGGCCTGGAGACCTGCCTGCTTGGGTGTGATGATGTCAGCCAAGCTGCTGGATTTTAAAAGGGCCGTGTCTGGGTGATTGGCCACTGAGAACTATTTGTAAGTCCTGTTCATCTCTGTTTCCTTTGCAGCCCAAGGAGCTGGATCCCTCTGCTGTGCTCCCCTTGGACTGTCTTCTTGCATTTGTGTTCTTTGATGCCAACTGGTGTGGCTACTTGCACCGGCGAGACTTGGAGAGGATCCTCCTCACCCTTGGGCTCCGGCTCAGTGCGGAGCAGGTGCCTTCTCTGTCTCATGCCCCATCAGTCCTTTCTGGATGGCCTCCCCTATCGCACATATGCACAGACCTGCACTTCACTCCTGTTCTGGTTTTTGCACCTTCCGATCAGTGGTGTCTGGGTGTGTGTTTTCTCTAGGCCAAGCAGCTGGTCAGCAGGGTGGTGACCCAGAACATTTGCCAGTACCGGAGCCTTCAGTACAGCCGCCCAGAGGGTGTAGACAGTGGGCTCCCTGAGGAGGTGCTCTTTGGTATGTCCTGGTGCTTGGCAGCCTTCAGTGGAGTAAGGGCAGGACAGGCTGCTTTCTCCTTCTGGGACCCTTTCCTTAATCAAACCTTTTTCATGGCCCCTTCTAGGAAACCTGGACCTGCTGCCTCCTCCTGGCAAGAATGCAAAGCCAGGTGCTGCCCCCATGGAACATAAGGGCCTCGTGCCCCACAATGGTAGCCTGATCAATGTGGGGAGCCTGCTGCAGCGTGCCGAGCAGCAGGACAGTGGCCGGCTCTACCTGGAGAACAAGATTCACACACTGGAACTGAAGCTGGGTGAGTAGCCCAGGACGTGAAGGGCATGTCTGTGCAGAGACTAGCGGGACACCCCATCCTTTGGCTTTAGGCTGCTTGCCCTATGCTCCAGTGCTCGACTGATCAGTGATCTTTCTGGTATTTCCTCCCACACTTCACAGAGGAGAGCCATAACCGGTTCTCAGCCACTGAAATGACAAACAAGACACTGGCCGCAGAGACGCAGGAGCTGCGAGCCCGGCTGGTTGAGGCCGAGGAGACGGCGCGGACAGCGGAACGACAGAAGAACCAGCTTCAGCGGCTGCTGCAGGAGTTCCGGAGGCGCCTGACTCCGCTGCAGCTTGAGGTGCAGAGGATGGTGGAAAAGGTGAGCGGGGATGAGGTAGCAGCCGCGACTGCACCCTGTCGAGAGCTGCCTGGAGGTGACTGCAGGACGCCAGCCCCTTCTTTCCTTTGCCCAAGTCACCTTGCCATCACGCTCCTCCACTAGCTTCTCCCAGATCAACAACCAGCAGCCTGGCGCCTCAATTACCCAGCAGCAGGAGGTGGCAGTCAGCGTTCCTGGTCAGTCCTGACCCTTGTCCCCTCTGTTTCCAACAGGCCGACAGCTGGGTAGAGAAGGAGGAGCCTGCACCCAGCAACTGAGGGGCCTCGCGAGGAGCTGCCATCCTGGGAGGTCAGCGATGGCGTCTGATGAAGTTTGAGCCCTTTGGTACCAGAAAGCAGCTGGAGCAGGACCTGGGAGCCCTGGGCAGGGGTGGCTGACCCCTGCGCTCAGCCTCTGCAGGCCATGTCGAGCCGTCAGGGTGGGGGTCTATGCACCATGGACTGATGTGTGAGGAACCCTGGTTCCTGTTACAAGTAAATCCAACATCTTTCACACCCCTAGAATGTCAATTTCGCCCTCAACCTTGGAATTTCTCCTGGGGCCCTTTTAGTCTTGTGCTGACTTTCTCCTGTCCTCCTCCAGTTTAGAATAAGACGGGAGGAAAAGGCTTTTTGAGTCTGTGACAAGATCTGATGCCAATAAACAGAAGAAACAGACATGGAGTCTGGCTGGGGCTAAGAACCCCTTCCCCAGGAAGGCACAAATCCTGCTCGGTTTCAGGCGTAGACTCCTGGGGAAAGGGTCTCCCTTGGCCATCACAGGAATGGAGTCTGTGCTAGAAAGTCCTCAGAGTTGGGCTGTGTTTGCCAATAGAACGCTGTGTTCCAGCCATCCCAGACTAGCCAGAAGAAACCAGCACCTTTCCCCCAGCTCCTGTGTTCAGAATGTGGTATTGGCTCTGGCCCAGCCTTTTCCCTGTTACCCATAATTCTCACCTCTTTCCATAATCCGTGGTTGTTTGACTTTGTATTAAAAGTTGGTTTTTTTTTTTTTTTTTTTTTTGGCTTTTTGTTTTTTAAATAAACCAAAGTCAAAAACAAACCGAATGTGTTCTCTGTATCCTTTCCCTGCTGCATCCCTGGCCCCTGTCCTCCTGGTCTGCAGCCCAGGGTTTTGCAGGACCATGGTGTACTTCTCTCCAGAAGGGGGGCAGGGCTGTGGGAAGTGCCAGCCTTTGCACTCTGGAATGGCTGCTCCCTGCTGGAATCTGGGTGCGTGTTGTAGGGCTCCTGCCAGCTCAGCAGAGGGCCACAGGACTCTGGACAAAGCCGGAGTGGCTTTCCCCTCCTCTCCTGAAGTTACAGGACAACACTACATGAGTGTTTTATCAAAAACTTTACTTGAAAAAATAAAATTCCAAATATTCGGGTGAGATACAAACCCCTTGCTTTGAGGTCTGTGAATTGGCGTGTGACATTCTGTATGGTAGGATAGTTACATTGAGTCCCAGTTACCTAGGGAACATGGCTGACAGACATGGGCTCCTCCCTGCACTTGACCTGCGTTGAACCAGCCCTTGTGCTGGGATGCTGGAGTGGGGCCTGTTGGGGCTGTCGGACCATGTAGGACTATGGCTCTGCTGTGGCTCCCCAGGGCAGTGTCACAGGCCTCTCCCAGAAAAAAAAGTCTTTGAAGTGGACAAGCAATGAAGGGCTGGTGGACTCCCCAGGATGGGTCTTCAGGAGGGAGGTAGATGCGCTCCCTGCCATGCAAGCAGGGCTAAGACCCTTCACTGAGTTGACAAAACTCATGCCCTCCTGGGGGCTGGAGCTTGCCAGGCCCTAGGCCAGGACGTACATTGGACGGCTAGTCGGAGAGAAGAAAGGCTGGCGGTTTTCTATGCTGCTTACCTGTTGTCTGGGGCCGTGGGTGGGTAGATGGTAGCCTGCGTGGGGCTCCTGGTACTAGGCTCAAGGGAACGAAGACGCCCATTTCAAAGGTAGAGAGGGGGCATCTCTATCCCCAACTGGCTGGTTGCCACACTTCTGTGATATGTGGGAGGAGCATGAGCCTACGCCTGCAAATGGCAGCGACTAGAGGTCACCTGTGACCCAGGAGGCTCCTGAGAGGGCTGGGAATTCAGTCATCGGCCACAATGGAGAGGGCTCGGAGCTCGCTCAGTTTGGCCTCATTCTCCTGCTCCCGCTGCTCATCTGAGTGGCCTGGGTGGTCCAGCTGCTGGGTCAGGTCTCCAAAGATCTTATGCATTTCAGAGTAGTACACGACCTGGGGTGGGAAGTGAGTGAGAGGACGTCTGCAAGTGCTGGACTCTGGGGCAGGGGCACAAGTGCTAAAGCATGCACAGCACCCGCGGGGCACAGCGCTGATGCCTGCTCCTCCCTCCTCCGCCTTCCCCGCCACAGCCCTCCCCTGAACTGCAGGGCGAAGCCATCCTCAGTACAGCCCACTGAGGACTGCAGGGAGCAGGGAGGTGACGGCCTTGGGGGCTGGGGCGCCCTTTCCACCCTCACTCCTCCCCAGTGGCTGGCCTGTGTACTGGGGGGTAGCTGGAGGCACGGGAGACCCATCAGCTGGCTCAGGACCAGGGGCTTCTCCAAAGAGGAGGAGAGGGGCCATTTGTGCCTCAGTTTCCTCCTCATGGCCGATGAAAGCATGCACTTTCATGAATGTGTTCCACAGTCTTTGAGCACTCCAGCTCCCAGTCATCTCCAAGGAGAAGGAATTCTGCTCTACGCTAGAGACCTGGAGACCACCAATAGGAAGGCAAGGCCGGGATGTAGGGGCACGTGGCCATGCTGTGTCAGGGGAAGTCCCAGGCTCCACGGCTGGATTTCCACTGGGCTGGGGGGAAGCTAGATCAAGAAGGTCTTGACATACTGCTGTCACCTCAGGGGCCAGGGCAAGTGCTGGGGATGCGTCTGGCCACCCTTCCCCCAACTCCTTGTCCAAGCTGCACTGCGCAGGGTGAGTCACTAGGAATGCTCACTTCTCCAGTGACTAATGGCAGCGCAGCCGGGTGAGGGGGAGGCTGGTGCCGAGGCGGTAAACAACCCCTGGCTACCCCGCTGCTTGGTTACAGGGCATTCCTAACCCCCCAAACAGCTCCCCCTGCAGCTACCTCCTGTGAGAAACAGGAGGGCGCCGGGCAGCCTCCAGGCTGCTAGGGGCAGCAGGGATGGTGACAGTAAGGCAAGGGATGGCACAGGGCTCCCCCTGAAACCATTTCTCCAGGGCAATGCATGCAGCTGCCGGAGGGAAGCTCTCACCTCCAGGGCCATGTATGGGGAACCCCCATTGACACAGAGGACCAATGATGTAGGTCACTAACAAGTCCCAGCTCTAGCCTAAATCCTACTTGGGCTTCCTGGTGCTAAGTGCCTGGCCCCATGGCTTTTGGTGTCCTCCAAAAGTGGCAGGGATGGAGGTGGGAGTCATACTTGTCCTGGGGCATCTGTGACGTGACTGTTGAATCTACAAGGAATGATGGTGTCCACTGGAGGGCGCCAGATGCCCAGCCAAAAACAGAACCGAGCAGGTGGCAGCTGGGACACGTGTACCTTTAGCTTCGGTACCTGGTCATGAGAGGTGGGAAGGGTAGCAGGGTCCTGAGGGTGACGCTGAGCACCCTCAGCTGGGTCCTACATGGAGGAGACCTACTGACTTTGGCATCCTAACCTTTACTATTTTGCCAGTGGAGTCTAATCCTCGCTAAAGGCATCAAGGTGAATGGGCACAGATCCCTCTGTGTCCTTCCACCTGAGTAGCAGGAGACACAGGGTCTGGCCTGTGTCTGCCCGCCACCTGCCCAGCCCCAATGCTATAGCTGGGTGGCAGCATCCACACAGCCTAAGCCCAGCCTGCCTTTTCTTGTGGGGTGCACCAGGGCCTGACGGCCCAGGCAGTAGCCCTGAGCATGGCTTCCAGGGCGCAGGGACCCCTCCGTGGGTAGCTCAAAGTCAAGACTCCCTGTGGGCTCCTGCTAAAAGAAGAGGACTAACTGGGGTGGAGAGGGGAGGGGTGCTGGGTCCTCAGAAAACGTCCCTACCCTATGGCCTCTGGATCCCTCATCTCTAGACCACGCCAGGCAAAGAACCTGCCCATCCAAAATGAGTGGCTGAAGGTGCTGCCTGGTTTCTTCCTGCTGCTTACAGTAAAATGTGAGAGGAGAGAGAAACGGGGAAGAACCATTGACCAAAAAGGAACCTTGTCTACCCTAGGGCTGGGATTAACCAAAGAGCAACATAGGAACCAGAGTCCAACAAAATTGGAGTCCCTGGAGCACCAAGGCCCTGGCCTCTGGGATGGAATGGACTCCCTCGTGGGGCAGTACCAAGGGCAGGGGGAGGAGTGGGGTGCCCACAAAGCCTATGGCTCTCTCCCAAGGGAAAAGCATTGGTCACCCTGGAGCAGTAGCCTCACCTGTGCTCGGATCAGGGACTCAAAGCTGGGCTGGAAGTAGTCAAGGCGGCTGCTGTAGAACCGTGGCATCTCATCCAGCAGCTGCTTGTTCTTGGCTTCAAAGTCCTCACGCACAGGCCGGAGCTCTTCTCGGGCCTGAAGAACAAGATCCTGGGTGTCAAAACTCTCGCTGCTGTAGGTGGGAACATCTGGTGTCTTGGTTCTGTCGGTCCCCAGGTGGAGGGAGAAACTTACCACGTGTGACAACGATGGCCCTCCTTCCTCCCCTCACCCACAGCACCTGCCCCACCCACTCCCTCTTCCTGGGTACCTGGTGGATCTTGGCCAGAACTGGCCCTGTCCTCTCCTTCTCCTCGTACTTCTCCACCCTGGCCTGCAGCCTCCTGTAGTCCTGCAAGGCCTGCTCCCGCCGCTTCACCGCCATGTTGAGGCTCGGAAAGACACTGCCAAACCTGCCAACACAGCTCGATCAGACATGGGCCCATTCTTGGAGGGGCAGCCTGGCAGCTCCTCATTCACCCCAAAATAGGGACTGAGTACCTCCTAAGTGCCAGACCCTGTTCTGGGTCTTGGGGACCTCACAGTAAACAAGACCAATGAGGCCCTGGCCAGTGTGGAGCTCAGGCTACTGAGAATGGCATCATGGGGTGAGGACAAGAGAAAGGAGACAGGGCCAAGGGATCTAAGTGACACATGGGTCAGGGTCAGGGATGAACGATGCCATTCCCTCTGCCCCTGCCCTCACCTACCCTCGTCACATGTGCCTCAACACATGACAGAGAAGTGCATTAGACAGTGGCAAAGTTGGAAGGCTCATTGGAAGTCACCTGCCATCATCTTCATTTTAAAAGATAAAAGAAACTGAGGCTAGAGAGATGACATGTGACTTTCCCACAGTCACAGTTAGGTAGAGATGGTCTAGAAGAGAACCCAAGTGTCCCAGGTCTCTGTGTGCCACCCTTCCCACCACCTCCCAATGGCACTTGTAAGCGACAGAACTGAAATCTGAACCTATTCCTGGCCAAGGGCACCTTCTCCTTCAAGGGCTCCTTTGCAACATGGGAAAAGCAGAAATCCAAACCATCCAGCCAGACGCTTTAGGGAGATGGCTGGAGGCCCTCCCCTGCCCCACTATGACTCAAAACTGAAATCTGAACCTATTCCTGGCCAAGGGCACCTTCTCCTTCAAGGGCTCCTTTGCAACTGGGAAAAGCAGAAATCCAAACCATCCAGCCAGACGCTTTAGGGAGATGGCTGGAGGCCCTCCCCTGCCCCACTATGACTCAATAGGACCATGAAGGGGACCACTGCAGAGTGACAGCTCAGAGAGAGCAGCAGCAGGTGCTTTGGCACATTTGCCCCCCATGGGCATGACAGTAGGACTAGCGTCATCTTCAACTCCGAAAGCAGTGGGATCTTGAGACAGGCAAAGGGCGGGGTTGCTTCTTATGGGCCCGGGCAGAAATGCTGCATGCTCCTTGATTAACAGGAGTGCAAAATTGCAGGCAGGTTTTCTGGAAGTGGACAGAAGACGGGGCAGCTGCTGTGACTGCAGAGCCCTGGGGTGCGGTTGGTGTTGCGATCACTGCTAGAGGGATTGGCCCTCAGCTCAGCGGCAGGAGGCATCTGCCACACACACAGGGAACCCTGGGAGCCCTGGC